TCTTGAACTTCTGGTTTCAAGCAATCCTCCTGCCTCAACCTCCCAAAGTGCTGGGATTACAGGCACGAGCCATCACACCCAGCCACAACTATGTTTTAATGATGTTGCAGTTCAGATGATTATTATTACTTTAATTTCAGAAAGTGATACAGATTTTTTTTTTACAGCTTTAAGAAAAAATTCCAAAAGAAGGATATACTTACTGAAAAAAATTCAGATTATATACCACTGTATAAAGCAAAAAGTGAGAGTATCTTCATTTTCTCATACCACTCAGATTGACCTCCTTAGTTTACTAGCTCCCAATTGATGGGAATTTAAGTTGATTCCAGTATTTCACAATTAAAAGTGTTGCAATGGGAATCATTGTACGTGTGCCTTCATGCACTTACATGAGTGTTTCTGTAGAATAATCTCAGATGAGTGCCTTACAGGCTCAGTGGTTTGGGTTTTGAGTTGGAAGTTATGAGCTGAAAGGAGTATGATAGTTTTCAATTCTTTTAACCTTATATATCCAGTGAAAGAAAGTGAAAAATCAGCCACAAAACGCGGGAAAATATTTGCAGATCCTAGTTTTGCTGATATCCAGAATATATAAACGTCTTACGATTCAACAATAAAAATACTAAAATTTAAAAATGGGCAAGAGACTTGAATAGACATTTCTCAAAGGAAGATATACAAATGGCCAATAAGTACATGAAAACATACTCATTATCATTAGTAATTAAGGAAATATAAATCAAAACCACAATGTGATATGGTTCACACACACCTAGGATGGATAAGATTTAAAAAGATAGCCAATAACAAGTGTTGGTGAGAATCTGGAGAATTTAGAGCCCTCATAATTGCTGATGGGGTTATAAAATGGTGCAGTCACAGTTTGACAGTTCCTCACGATGTGAAACATAGTCACCACATGACACAGCAATTTCACTCCTAGGAATATACCCAAGAGAAATGAAGACATGTCCACAAAAACATGTATACCAGTGTTCACAGCAGCATTATTCATAATAGCTGAAAGGTGAAAACAACACAAATGCCCATCAATTGAAGAACAGATAAACAAAGTGTCGTATATCCACACAGTGGAATATTATTCAACCATGAAAAGGAATGAAATACTGATACATGCTACAACATGGATGAACTTTGAAAACATTATATTGAGTTAAGGAAGCCAATCACAAAAGACCACATATTGCATGATGCTATTTATATGAAGTGTCCATAGAGACACAAAGTAGATTTGTGGATGCCTGGGACTGGAGGAGAGGAGAGAATGGGAAAGGACGGCTAGGGTAGGGTTTTCCTTTTGGGGGGATGAAAATTGGGTATGAAATTACGTAGTGGTGATAGTTTTGCAACATAGTGAATATACTAAAACCACTGAATTGTTAAAGAGTAAACTTTATGCTGTGTCATGCTGTGTCCCATATAAAAAAATAATGGGACATTTAATATAAGTATTGTTGCTTTATAATTGAAGTGATACATGTGGTTAATTGCTTTTTGCTGCTGCAGCGTGCTCTCTCTTCACACTATA